CAAGCTGAAGCCCACCTCTTAATTTCTTGTCAAGTCCTGTGCAGAGGACATTGATGAAGGCTCTAGTCTTAGGACTAGACCAGAGCACATATGGACACAGAAACCTAACAGCAGTATTGGACAGAGGTTCTTCAGCCACTTCAGCAGTGATTCTTAAGAGTGATAAACCAAGAAAACTTCCAGCAGATGTGACAGCAAGGAAGTCAAGCAGGAAATCACTGCCACACTGGAGGCCCTGTGTGTCATTGCTGAGGCTACCCAGATAGACAACATAGCAATCCTGTTTGATTTTTTATTGGACTTTCTTACCCAATTGCATTGGGTTGATGGAAGTTTACAAAACTACCCCAGAGACTGTCAATCTCATTATAGAAGTTTTTATTGAAGTTGCACATAAACAGATATGCTATCTTGAAGAGTCCTAAGCTATGAACTTATATGAAGCCTGCCTTACTTTGTTGCAAGTACATTCTAAGAATAACTTAGAATGTCAAAGAATAGATGTTATAGTGGAAGAAGGGCAATACCAAGACCTGCTTCTCGTTATGGAACTTCTTACTAACATGCTGTCAAAAGAATTCATAGATTTCAGTGATACAGATGAAGTGTTTAGAGGACATGACCCAGGTCAAGCAACAAACAGATCTGTGTCAGCAGTGGATGTTGGGTTGTACGGAGTAAAGCTAATTCTGCCCTTGATGTCACAGGATCTCTTGAAGTTTCCAACCCTTTGTAATCAATACTACAGATTAATCACATTTATCTGTGAGATTTTTCCTGAAAAAATACCACAGCTTCCTGAGGATCTGTTTAAAAGTCTGATGTACTCCCTAAAATTAGGAATGACATCAATGAGTTCAGAGGTTTGCCAGCCTTGCCTGAAGGCTTTGACAACGTTAGCTGAACTGTGTGCAAAAGTGCAAGAAACAGACTCACCAATTTTTCTAGCAACACGGCGCTTTCTTAAGCTGGTTTTTGATATGCTGGTTTTGCAGAAGCACAACACAGAGGTGACCACTGCGGCTGGTGAAGCTTTCTACACATTGGTGTGTTTGCACCAAGCTGAATATTCTGAACTGGTTGAAACATTATTGTCAAGTCAGCAAGGCCCAGTTATTTACCAGAGATTAGCAGATGCCTTCAACAAGCTCACTGCAAGCAGCACTCCTCCTGTGCTGGATTGGAAGCAGAAGATCGTCTTCTTAAAGACCTTAGAAGAATTTATGAAAAATAAAAATAAGGAAAGGGAATGGGATTAGACAGGGGCCTAGAGAGGACTAGAATATTGGTAACATTATATTCTTAACTTGGTGTTGAGTACATTGGAATTCATTTTTTCCTCTTCTTTAGTATACATTTATTTCTTATTTTTCTTGAGCAATGTGTTTTATGTATGTTTCTGTAAGTATATTTCAGTTACCCACACGCAGACATAAGTACAACTGGTGAGAAACATTAAGTTTGCCTTGCCGCTGTGGCTCCCTTGTGGAGAATACCTTTTAGTTGGCAGTTAGTGGTAGGCAGGTAATAGCAGCCTACTTGGTATATTTCTGAGTTTTGAGTAAATACAGAACACCTGTTTATTAATAATAATCACCTGTTAAGAGAGAAAAAAGGCATGGATTAGAATCTGCTTGGGGCCTTCAGCCTGGAATGCGGTCAGTCCCTGAGGCTCTCAGCTCCATGGGCTGCTGGCCCCCAGTATAGACCCACTTTGCTGTTCTGTCTGGGTGTCTGCCTCTCATTGCCTTCAGAACCGCCTGAGTGGGGGTCTCTCGGCCAAGCTGATGTTCAGTATACAACCTCGTGGCAAACTAGGAATATGACAGATTTTCCAATAGTGGTATCTGTAAAAATATTTAGAAGTATTCCATTACCAGCAAAATGAAGAATAAAGAAGGAAGCCCACTATTATTTTTATTTGATAGTTTACTAGAGATCTTCATTATGAAATAAGAAGAAAGAGAAGAATTAAAGAGGAAGACTGAGATTGGCCTTATTTAACGATTATATATAGAAAATCCAGGAAATCTACAAAGAATTGTTAAAACCCAATACATTCAATAATGTTTATGTATGAAAGATCAACATACAAAAACCCCAGCATTTCTGCATTTACCAGTAATTCAATTAATATATAATAGAAACAGATTTTTTTGTTAGCCACAAACCATAACATATTAAATAAATGTAAAAAAAAATTGCACAGCACTTTTGAAGAAAATATTACTGAGTGAGATAATGGAAGACAAGAATAAGTCTACATCACAAAGAAATCAATTCTTTGATTAATCTATAAATTCAATACAATTCCAAAGTCAACTTGATTTATAAATTTGATCATAAAATTATATGGAAATAAAAAGAGTTAAAAATAGCCAAGAAAAATTCGTAGTGAAGAAAAGCAAGGTAGGGGGCCCTGCCCTGTCAAATAGCAAGGAGTATTGCCAGGCTAATGAAGACAGTCTTTTAATGGTCCAAAGATAGATAACATATAGTGAAACAGGGCAAAGGGTGCAGAAACAGTCATATACAGTATATGAAAATACATGATATAGGTGGATTTATGAATCAGTGGAGAAAGAATGTACTATTAATAAATGTTGCTAAGGAGTTTTTCCATATGGGAAAAACTTACAGTAGTATCTTAAGTTAGATACATATCACACCCACTATTCTATATCCTATGACATTATTCTATTTTACAACACTTTTGGAATAAAACAGCAAATACATTTAAAACATCTGGATAGGGAAGGATTCTCAAGACATATAAAGCTCAAACCGTAGAAGAAAAGATGTTTAAATTGGACTTTTTTATATTTAGAGACATCTTTAAAGGACCCTTAAATTTAAATGACCATGCTGGAATCCTTAAGAAAATGTTAGCAAACTGAATCCAGCAGTATATAAAAAGGATTGTATAGTGTGACCAAATGAGGTTTATCCCACAAAAGCAAGGTTGGTTTAACATCCTAAAGTACACCATATGGATAGAATAAAGGGCAAAAACTCATGATCATCTCAATAGACATAGAAAAAACATTTGACAAAATCCAACACCCTTTCATGATAAACATGCTCAACAATCTGGGAATAGAATGAACTTCTTCAGCCTCATAAAAGGCATTACACTGAATGTTGAAAGCCTGAATTCTTTCTCCCTAAGATTAGGAACAAGTCCAGAATACTAGCTCTCACCACATGTACTCAACATTATCCTGGAGGTTCTATCAAGTGGAATAGGAGAAGTGAACTAAATTGAAGATATACAGATTGGAAAGGAAAAAGTTAAACTGTCTTTATTAGCAGATGACATGATCTTGTGTATAAAAATAACCTAAGGAATCAACCCTCACCCCCACACACAAAAAATATTAGAACTACTAAATGAATTCAGTAAGACTTCAGGATACAAGATCAATATACAGATAACTATATTTCTAAATATTAGCAATGAACCATCTGAAAATGAAATAAAACAATTTAAAAATTCACAAAAGGAAGAATGAAATACATTTAACAGAAGTATAAGGTCTGTACACTGGAACTGCAAAACATTGCTTAAATTTATACCATGAAGAGATACAACATGGTTATGGGTTGGAAGATCCAATATTCTAAGCTGGCAATTCTCCCCAAATTAACCTATGGATTTTATATGTAATCTCTATCAAAATCCCAGAAGGCTTTTTTGTTGTTGTTGCAGAAATTGACAAGTTGATCCTAAAATCTGAATAGAGAATAGGGGAATTCAAAGGACCTTTAATGAATAATGACCAAAATATGAAAAAGAACAAAGCTGGAGGACTTACCACTCCTTGATTTTACTTATTAATTTACTTATTTATTTAGAGATGTGGTCCCACTCTGTTGCCCAGGCTGGAGTGAGGTGATGCAGTCTTGGCTCACTGCAGCCTCTGCCTTCTCGGCTGAAGCAATCCTTTCCTCTCAGCCTCCTGAGTAGATGGGACTGCAGGCACACACCACCATGCTCAGCTAATTTTTGTATTACTGTAGAGAAAGGGTTTTGCCGTGTTGCCCAGGCTGGTCGTGGACTCCTGGATTCAAATGATTTGCCTGCTTCAGACTCCCGAAGTGCTGGGATTCCAGGAATAAGCAACTGTACCCAGCCAGCTGGAGTCAAAATTTATCTTTAAAAGATGTATCTTCAAGTTGGCCCCCATGATTAGAATTGATGCTTAGTCCACAGTTCTCCTATCAGCCTTGCCACAATTCTTTTATTTTGGCTTCTTTTATCTCTATTTGAATATGCATATACTGATAAAAACTTTGAAATTCTCCGCCAAGTATCTTTGGGATCTAATTTCTTCAACTAGTTTATTTTAGGGTGATTTTTAGAGTAGGCAGATCTGCCTAGTTTTGAACTTGACACCCTAGAAAAATAAAAGCATTGGTGACTATTGAAGACTGTATCAAACTGAACAATCTAAGAAAACTACACAAATACTATATCAGTAGAAATACCAGGTTTAATAAGCAGGAAGCCAAGATGCCAGATGCTGAGTGTCTACAGCACTGACCTTTAAACACCCCAGCAGAGGTTGTCTCTTTTAATTCTCACAAGTATATCCATGAAGACTAAATACCTGGCCCAAGGTCGTTTGGGTAATAAATGTAATGTCTCTCCTTGAACCACTGTGCTATTTCTCAGGGTGGAAATTTCAACGCTTTTAACCTTTTCCTAAAGGACTTTAACATTTTGGGGGGTTTAAATCAGTGTCTTCCAGTTATCCCTTCTCAATAACAGTGTTTCTAGATTAAAGAAATCTACAGCTCAAAATCTGACACCATAGTTTAATGAGAATACATGAAGATAGCAAGAGAATAGCTCTTAATTACTCGAAATAGCTCTTAGTTACTTGGAAGGAGAGTCTTTAAGAAAATACAGTTTGAAAAAAGAATCACAAATATTAAAACTGATTATATTTAAAGTTGAATATAGAAGTTATTTATAGTTTAAAAACATCTGTTTTCAGGATCTTTTGAAGAAGTTATCCCTGCGAGGAAGCTGAAGAATTTTTACCCAGGTGTAGCGGAGCACAAGGATATTTCTAAGTTGGTCCTGCTCCTTTCCTCCTCTGTAAATTCCCTAAGAAAGGCGGCTCATGAAGCCCTGCAGGACTTTCAGAAGTACAAGACTCTCTGGACAGAGGACCGTGATGTGAAAGTGAAGGTGCCTTTCTACTACTTGTGTTGTTGTTTGGGTTTTGTGTCTCTTGAGGGTGGACAAGGAGAATATCAGGGATAATGATAGGAACTCAAGAGCAGAGATCAAGAACCTATAAATACCAAGTACCTGTCACCTTCTAACTGGTGTAATTCTCACATGGATACACTGAGGCAATTGATAATACTGATATCAGACAGATTTTGTTCAATTTCCTTAAATAATTGAGTACCAATTATGTGCCACCACTGACTAGAGGCCAGGTATTCAAGGGTGCCTCACACTTCTGTAGACAGCTGTATTTCAGTTACAGACTCAAGGAAACTTTAGAGCTCTGACTAACCCCGCCTGGCAGACTGAAACTCCTCGCCTCCCAGTGGACACCCCATTTCTTACTCAGCCACTTGCCCCATTGCACAAAGTGTAAAAGTGTATGAGCAAATGCAGTTTTCTATTGTAACTGTTGCAAGATTTATACTGCTAAAAAATCAAAGAAAATATTGACTGTTTTCTTACTGCAGGAATTTTTGGCTAACAATCCCTCTCTGACTGAAATCAGATCAGAAATTCTACACTATGCTACTTTTGAACAGGAGATTGATGAGTTGAAGCCTGTCATTGTTGTAGGAGCACTTGAATTACATACAGGTATTTAAAAAGTATTTATTATGTAAAGTATCTGCATTTCCACATGAAGTGTTACTTTATTTAGCAAGCAGTTATTAAGCTATCTTGGTATAATAATATTATAATAATATTATACCAAAATATAATAATTATAAAATATACCAAGGTATAATAATAGTATTATACCAAGATATATTATACTATTACTACACCATTAAAAGTAACAGCAAAAACTGCAGTTACTTTTGCACCAACCTAATATAAATGTTAGATGGTTCTGAGCCATTGATAGTCTTTGTATGCACATACATAGACACACTACACAGGCCAGTTCCTCCACTGGCAGTCAAACAACTAAAACTATAGGTGAAATTCTCTTGTAGCTTACAGTGAGGAGGGGCTTGTAAACATGAGGTGGGAATCAAACAGTTTGAAGTCTGCCAAGAAGTTGATCCATTTGGGATTAAAGTATCAAAGGATGATGAGACAATCATCAATGTTTGAAATACAAAGATGATGTTATTGCTTGCTGTAGTGACAGAGAGCTCTATTGGTCAGGCACAGTGTCCTTGACAGGGCAGACTGCTGGTCTCATACAGGGTGTCTGGAGAGCATGGAGTTGAAGGACTGTGCGTGTAGACAAGTTGACATAGCTGTAGAAGGGTGCTTACTCGGGTTGAGACTGTTGTAGGCTGGTACGCTGGTTGGCACTCAGTGGTGGGTTTATTGGAGTAAGTCTTTCTTGACTAGTTGACATTCAGAGGAAAGGGCCTGGCACTGATTAAGTTGCACAGGTATGAGAACTGATGTTGAGTTGGTCTATGGTTTGGGTTTAAAGCTGGTTATGGCGGCTCATTATTGCCATGGTTCCATAACAATCAGTCTTATCCCAAGTTTGTGGGAAGATTTTATTCTCAGATAATATTTGAATGAGCTATTTTACATCCACTATCTACCTTAAGTAGATTTTCAGGTCCGTTAACAAGAAGTTAGTGTAACTGTGGCTCTTGAATTTGACCACTTGGGTTACTTGACATCTTTAACCTCTATTTCCTCTGCTGATGACAATGACAGTATCCACCTCATGAAATGCTTTATATGAGATGCTTAGCATAGTACCTGGCGTATGATTGATGTTGAATAAATATTAAATATTATTATTATATCTACCAAGGAAGTACTTGCGATTCTCTGAGGAAGAATCACAAGTACCAAATAATCACAAGTACTTGAGGGGGATTAGTTAGCTGGAAATCAGAAACTATGCATCAGTGGCAATAATTACAAGAACTTCTGTAGTGTTTTGGAAACTGTACTCTATTATTTTTCAAAAGTTCATATTTGCCTCCTCATAATGGTTAGCACTATGATCCACAATATAAAAAGCAACTGTAGTATACTGATCCAGTGGGCTGGGGTGCTTGTTTTTGGAGAGAAGTATCTAAAAATGAAGAGATGACAGTAGTTACAAAGAAAGGGGAGGGTGGGCTGAATCCGTAAGACCTGAGGAAAAGAGACCCCCCAGGGGACCTCATGAGATATGGTCTCACAGCCTCAATCACCAGGCTGGCTGCATGGTTGTTCTCAGGCCACACTTTCTTTTCAGCTCCACAGGCCTCTAAGTTTAATGGTTGGAAGGTAAGAGTGAAACAGCCATGTTTCAAGTTTGGCAGAGTTGGGGAGTGGAGGGGTACCGAGAGGAAAAAGGGGAAGGATTGATAAGGCAGAGTTGACTAGTTAGAGCTGTTTTGTTTTCAAGAAACAGAAACACATTTGAGCTATGTTAAGGGAGAGAAGATTTATCTCAGAATCCAAGGTGCAACTGGGCCTTCAGAATGGACCCGAAGCAGGACAGTGTAGGAAACTGAGAAAGTTCTTTCTCTCTGCTTCTCGTTTCTTCTTCCCTCTGTGCATGAGTTTTTCTGCTTCCCAGACTACTTGGCTCCTCCTCAAGCCTCATTTCCCACTCTCAAGAAAGGACTCTGATTGGTCCATAATAGAGGTCATGTTGGCCAGGGACAACTGGCCAGGTCCAGGGTCCAGGGTCAGGGTACACAGATACTCTGACCATGTGGATGATGTGGGGAGTAGAAAAAAGAAACCTATAAAGTCATGGCTTGACAGACAAAACAATAGATTTCACTCCACCTCATGGGTCCCTACAGAAAAATGCAGGAATGAATGAGGGCTGCTAATGGGATGGTCAGAAGAAGTGCAAAGGTCACACAGAACAGTGATAGAACTGATTTTAGAAATGCTCCCCCATGGACTGTGGTGTCGAACTCATGCACATCTCCATGGGGATACATGCTCTGTGGGGACAGGAATTAAGTCTTCAAAATCTAGTAACCTTATAACACATGTAATTCAGACTAACCACATTTCAAGTGTCCAAAAGCCACATGTGGTTAGTGACTCCTGAACTTGACAGAGCAGTTATAGGTGCCCTTATAGTTTCAGAATGACAGTTATATTCTAATTTAATCTCTTCTTGTCTTCACCAGAGCCCATGAAATTGGCCTTATCTATTGAGGCTAAGGCATGGAAGATGTTACTCTGTCGATATTTGAATGAGGAATACAAAAAGAAAATGTCAGACATGATAGCATTTATTAATGAATACTTGAAAAAGTTGTCTAGACCTATTCGTGATTTAGATGATGTCAGATTTGCAATGGAAGCCTTGTCTTGCATACGTGATAATGAAATTCAAATGGACATGACTTTGGGACCAATTGAAGTAAGAAATGATTGCTTTTTTTTTCTTGGAATTCTTCAAAAAAAAAAAAAAGAAATAGAGACATGCTAAGAAAGTGATTCTTTAACATATTCCTTCATCTATTATGTGGCACAGTCTGCCTGTTTCTCCTCTCTGATGTTGATGTCTTTGGGAGAATTTTGGCCATTATCAACAGTGAACACTATACAAAAGACACTGTTGTAATACAAAGGAATATTAATATATTTATTATGCTATACTGAGGTAGGTAGTGTTTAATTTTTGATACTGGCACCAACGTTTTGTGGAAAGTAATAATTGCCCCTTGTCATGTCAATCCCAACATGTTAGGCAAGTTCTCCCAATATCTGTGGCTTGCCGTAGAAACCAATTAAAGGTCTCACTCATGACCAGTGGTGTACCATGGGCAGTATGGCAGAAACAGTTCCCCCAGGCTCAATAGTAAATTGCTGAAACTTAGATCAATGAAAGACGTTTTTAAGAAACAGTGTGAGTTTCCTATTGCTGCTATAACAAATCACCACCAACTTAATGGCTTCAAACAACACACCTTGTTTTACAGTTCTAGGCATCAGAAGTCCAAAAATGGGTCTCATGTGGCTAACTCAAGATGTCAGCAGGGCCGTGTTGCTCCTGGAGGCCCTAGGGGAGAATCCATTCCTTCCTTTTTCCAGCTTCTAGGGGCTGCCCATGTGCCTTGACTCATAGTTCCCTTTCAGTGATGCCATCACTTCTACTCCCATTTCTGTCATTATGTCTTCTCTCATGCCGACTTTCCTGCCACACTCTTTCTCTTACGTGGACCTCTTTGATTACATTGGGCCCACCTGGTTAATTCAGGCTAATCTCTCCATGGCAAGTTCCTTAACATAATTATATCTACAAAGTCCCTTTTGCCATATAAGGTAATACATTCACAGACTTTGGGGATCAGAACTTGAACAACCTTGGTGAGGCTATTATTTTGTCTATTACTAATGTTTAGAATGTTTTAGAACTAATATTATTTAGACTTTCTGATACATTATGATAAAAATTAGGCGTTTGATTCTTTTTATTATTGTTTTGTTTTCTATAAACAATGTACTGTCTCATTGCATGCAATATCTGGGTAATTGACACCACCACTGCCTCCTTACAGTACCCAATATTTATGACTGTTTTATGCTTTCTTGAACCCATTGGGAGTTTATACTCTTTGCTAGCTAATGAACTTTATACTTTTATTGACTTAAAAATCTTGGTATTTGGGGATTTTGGATGCTGGCCAGCCAGTATTCAAGATGTAATAGATTATCATATCATTTTTTACTCTTGGCTGCAGAAGCTTAATTCTTTACCATACTTTTTTTTTGGTGAAAATAATTACTGGTTATCCCTTGGATCATTCAAGTTTCTTTTCTCTGAAGTATCTCCCACATCATTTCATTTCGTTCCTTGTATAGTCAGCCCCTGTTTTAATACAGTTTGAGAAATTATCTTATGTTGTGTTGACATAAGGTCAAGGAGGAAAAAGAGAGACATATACATCTCCATCAGAATCACCTAGGTGCTTATTAAATGCAGATTTCAGAGCCTGTGATCTAGAGTTAGTATCTGGAAGTCAGAATCTAAAGGTGCTTTTTATACACTTTTAATTTTGGAAACCACTCTTCTAGAACATGCTGTCTTCTTCTAAGACATAGGAATGTGTTTCTAGAAGGCATCTAAATCATTTGGCAATGGCTTTCCTTTGTGATATTTCTAAACTCCACCTTCATTCTGCAGGAAGCCTATGCTATTTTAAACAGATTTGAAGTTGAAGTAACCAAAGAAGAATCAGAAGCAGTTGATACCTTAAGATATTCTTTCAACAAATTGCAGAGCAAAGCTGTAAGTACGAATTTAGTTACTTTATTTTTTTAAGTCACTATCTCCAGAAAAAAAGTATTTTATACCTTTTTAAAGCTTAATATACAGTCATGTGCCAGTTAACAACATTTCAGTCAACAACAGACTGCATATACGATGGTGGTCTCATGAGATTATGATACTGTGTTTTTACTGACCCTTTTCTATGTTTAGATACACAAATGCTTACCATTGTCTAGAACTGCCTTCAGTATTCAGTACAGGAACATGCTGTACAGGTTTATAGCCTAGGAGCAATAGGCCATACCATATAGCCTAGGGGTGCAGTAGGCTATCCCATCTATGTTTGTGTAAGTGCACACCATGATGTTCACACAATGACAAAATCACCTAATGACACATTTCTCAACCTATCCCCATAATTAAGCAATGCAAAACTATAAATTATTTTAATGGTTTTATTGAGATAGAATACACATACCATAAAGTTTACTATTTTAAATTATACAATTCAGTGTTTTTTAGTATATTCACATAGTTGCATAACCACCATCATTATCTAATTTTAGAACATTGTCACCCCTGCAAAAAGAAACCCTATGCCCATTAGCAATCACTCTTGATTCTACTTCTTGCCCCAGCCCTGGCAACCGCTAATCTACTTTCTGTTTCTGTGAATTTTCCTTTTCTGGACATTTAATGTAGACTAAATCATACAATATATGATCTTTTGTAACTTGATTCTTTCACTTACATAATTTTTCAAAGTGATTCATGTTGTCCATGTGCCGGGACTTCATTTTCCTAATGCCTAATGAGATAGAGCATGTTTTCATGTGGCCATTTTATTGGTGATTTGTATATCTTATTTGGAGAAACATGAATTTAAATCCTTTGCTTAATTTTAAAAAGAAATTTTGTTGTTTTTTTATTTTTGAGTTGTAAGAATTCTTTATATATTATGGAAACAAGTTTCTTATCAGATATATGATTTGTAAATGTTTTCACCTTTTCTGTGGGTTATCTTTTTACTTTATTGATGGTGTCTTTTGATGCACAAAGTTTTTACTTTGATGAAGTATAGTTCATCTTGTTGTTGTTGGTGGTGGTGTTTTTGGTATGTTATCTGGGAAACCATTTGTCCAATCTAGAGTTATGAAAATTTATTCCCATGCTTTCTTATGAGAGTTTTATAACTTTAGTACTTACATTTTGGTTTCTGATACATTTTGAGTTAATTTGTGCATATGGTGTAAGTATGAAGTCCAACTTCATACAAAAGCATGTAGATAATTCAATTGCCTCAACATTGTTTACTGAAAAAACTATCCTTTCACCAACAAATTGTCTTGGTAGCCTTGCTGAAAATCAATTGATCATAGACATAAGGCTTTATTTCAGACTCTCAGTTCTATTCTTTTTATCTATATGTCTATCCTTATGCCAGTACCACATTGTCTTGATTATGGTAGTTTTGTGCTAACATAAAATTTACCATCTTAACCATTTCAGTAGTGTTAAGTATATTCACATTGTTTTACAACCACTCTCCAGAACTTGCAAAAATCTTGCGAAACTGAAACTCTGTTTAGACAACAACTCTTCATTAAACAACAACTCTCCATTTTCCCCTCCCATTTCTAGGTTGCCTGTTCACTCTGCTGATTGTGTCTTTTTATAGTCCTTATAGTCCTTTTTTTATTTCTGTTAGGCTGGTAGTGATGTCCCCTTTTTCATTTCTAATTTTAACAATTTGCATCTTCTCTCCTTTATTCTTGATTAGTTTATATTAGTCAATTTTGTCAGTCTTTTCAAATAAAAAACTTTTGGTTTATTGATTTTCTCTATTGTTTTTCTATTTTCTTTACCAATTTTTTTGTGCTCTAGTTTTTTATCATTTCTTTTCTTCTTTTTGCTCTGGGTTTAATTTGTTCTTCGTTTAGTTTGTTGAGGTTACTAATTTGAGATTTTTTTCTTTTACTATAGAACCTGATAGCTATACATTTCTATAAGCATTTTTGAAGTTGATAAACATTTATACACCAAAAGTTAGACATTAAAAATGAACTCCACAAGGGATGACCTATATTATTTAATTATGCTGAATTTTATTGAATATTAATTAAATTGGTTATTGGCTTTAATGTTTCTTGTTTATGAAAATACTTGTCACTTATACTGAAGCAAGACACAACAGCAAGGAGGCACAAAACTGAAGTTGAGGTCACAGCTTGTGATTGCAGCTCTACCACCAGTCAATTGGATGATTTTACACAATTTAATAACATTTGTTTTTCAATTTCTTCTTGGGGTCATTTAGTAAGGCTAATTTTTTTATGTATCTGTGAGGTTCACTTGAAGTAATGTATATAAAATACTTTTTGTAAAGAAATAAACTCATGTTTATTTAACTTCATATCCAATATTAACTAATAGCTTATTTTGAAAAAATGCTTGCTGGTTAGTCAGAGTAGTGAGTCTTAGAAAAGAAATAGGAAATCTCTACTGAGGTTTAGTGAAACCCAATTTTCTGCTGTTATTCAATGGAAAAGATTCATGGCTGAACGTGGTGGCTCACACCTGTAATCTCAGCACTTTGAGAGGCTGAGATAGGTGGATCACTTGAGCCCAGGAGTTCAAAACCAGCCTGGGCAACATGACAAAACCTTATCTCTACAAAAAATACAAAAATTGGCTGGACATGGCAGCACACACCTGTACTTCTGGTTACTTGGGAGGCTGCGGTGAGAGGATCACTTGAGCCCAGTCAGTTGAGATTGCAGTGAGCTGAGATTGCACCACTGGCACTCCAGTCTCTCTGGTCTGGACGACAGAGTAAGACCCTATCTCTGAAAAAAGGATTCACTTAGGTTGTTCCTTTGTCTCTTTAATGGCTAACGTTAAACCCACTAACCTATCCTTTAGTGGAGATAGACTGTCCTATTCTGTAATCACCATTAAACTTAAGGTAGTTTATGTTCCAATCTAAAGATAGCTGCTCTTGTTGAGAGCAGTTGAGAGCAATTAAGAACAGGGACTTTGGAACTACACAGCCAGGTTTTGAAACTTGACTTTGATACTGGTGCTGGGACTTTGGGGAAGTTACCTAGCCATTCTCTGCCTTAGTTTTCTCACCTATAAAATGGATATCATATTAGCATAGTACAATTTTCTGCATAGGGTTGTTATGAAGATTAAAAGAGTTAACATATGTAAAGAGCATGGGAGATGGCAAGCATTATTTAAGTGCTGGCTATTATTATTGAAGGTTTAAGCAGAGGCTTTTAAGACCATTGTGTGGGATATTCGTTATTTTTTTAATACTTAGAATAATGTCATTTTCTTTTAGGAAATAACTTCAACCACTGCAGGCATGTGAACTTATTAGAGATTGCTAATCCCAGATCTTGGCCTGGCCCCACAGACAACATGTGACCCAGGCTGTTCAATAACAGTAACTCTTTCCCAGGCCACACTGATGGCCTGAATTGGATCAACCAGAAGCAGTTACAGAAAAAATGACTTTGCCCCTTGAGTCACAGACTAGAATGATTTGAATCTCCTATATTGAATTCGGGGCCTGAATTCTCGTGGTAGAAAATGTAACATAGTTGTTGGAAGGCTGTGAGAAACTATAAACACCTAATACCAGGATATTATGCCATTGATTTTGCATTCTCACTAACTCTTAGAGGTACATTTGGGTTGTTAATATATTTTATTACACGCAAACAGAGACTTCCTTGTTCATATAGAATATCTGTGAGATAAGAAACTTGTTGGAATAGAATTGTAATTTTTGTTTTTAATATGTTACTTTCAGTCTGAGCTTGAATATTCGTTTTTATTCAAGGTTTCTGTACAAGATGACCTAGTTCAAGTGCAGCCAAAGTTTAAAAGTAATCTACTTGAGGCTGTGGAAGTTTTTCGTGAGGACGTGATAAACTTTGCAAATGAATATGAGTTGGTAATTTTTTTCTTGCTGTATGCTAAAATGTTCTGTGATGTGTATATATGAAATGAAAGTGATGAACCCTGAGAAATAGATATGTTGCATGTAAGTGGCTATATTTGCATATTTGCAGCTATCAGAAAAAGGGGTTAGCTAATCCTTTAAACCAGGGATGTCCAATCTTTTGGCTTCCCTGGCCATATTGGAAGAAAAAGAATTGTTCTGGGCCACACGTAAAACACCCTAACACTAACGATAGCTGATTAGCTGTAAAAAATTGCAGAAAAATCTCATATTGTTTTAACAAAGTTTATGAATTTGACCGGGCGCGGTGGCTCACGCCTGTAATCCCAGTACTTTGGGAGGCCGAGGCGGGCAGATCACAAGGTCAAGAGATCGAGACCATCCTGGCCAATATGGTGAAACCCTGTCTTTACTAAAAATACAAAAATTAGCTGGGCATGGTGGCGCGTGCCTGTAGTCCCAGCTACTCGGGAGACTGAGGCAGGAGAATTGCTTGAACCCGGAGGCGGAGGTTGCAGTGAGCCAAGATTGCACCACTGCACTCCAGCCTGGTGCCTGGCGATGGAGTGAGACTCTGTCTCAAAAAAGAAAGTTTATGAATTTGTTTTGGGCTGCATTCAAAGCTGACCTGGGCTTCATCTGGCCTGTCGGCTGTGAGTTGGACAAGCTTGGTTTAAGCAAATTTTAAAGAGAAACAAAGCAGATTTTGCTGTTAAAAGGAGAAACAACTTTGGAGACTGCGGAAGGAAGAAACGGTCTGGTTTTTTCCTTTCTTGGGGCCTGAATTCTCATGTTAGAAAATGTAATATAGTTGTGGGAAGGCTGTGAGAAACTATAAATGCCTAATACCAGGATATTAGGCCATTGATTTTGCATTCTCACTAACTCTTAGAGAACCAAAAAGATCCCTAAGAATAAATAATAGATGTCATACTGGGTCAGTCTTGTACACAACTCAACCTGGTATTCTGACTAATAATATTGACCTTGAAATTAAACTCAAAACTGAATATGTTCCCCTGAAATATTCTTTCTTTTAGTGGTCACAGTGGATCTGTATTCATAAGATGATTTAAGTCCTTGGTGCTACTTATATAATGCTTTTTTAAACAACATGTACTAAACATATCTGCTGATTTGCCAGCTCATTCTATTGTTAAAGTAAATTTAAAATGGAGACCAGGCCTAAAGAATCCCTGAGCAGACACAGCCAGTCACTTACATAATACATTTTTTTTTAACATGTACTAAATATATCTGTTGATATGTCCCCTCATTCTATTGTTAAAGTACATTTAAAAGGAAGACCAGGTCTGAAGAATCCCTGAACAGACACAGCCAGCCAGGCATCTTAAGTTATCTCACCCTTACACAATTTGCAGACATAAGCAAATCTGAATGCTATTTCTTATAAATGCCTGTATTAAGAACAGCCCAACTAATCAGAAACAGCAAACAAAACTGTAATTATATAACTGGGGACTTTCCAGCAGGACAGACCAAAGAAGACAACTTTATAACTGAAACCAATCAAACATTTTCTTTATATTACTTCTATGCTTACTCTGTAAAAGCCTTCTGCAGTGGAGATCCTAAACCAATTCTAGTTTGGAATGACTCAATTTATGAATTGCTGTGTGCTCAGATAAACCTAAAAAAAATTACTGTGCCTCAGTTTACCTTTTAAACACTATTATATTGGGAACCTGGTCTATTATTTATTATATCCATCATATCATAATTGACCATATTATAATAAATATATTATTTATTATATCCATCATATCATAAATGGATATTTATTATATCCATCATATCATCATATCATAACATAACTAAGTACATGTTAATGTACTTAGTAGCATTCATTTTTTCATTGGGAATAGCTCCTGTTATTTTAATTTGTGACTACATAGAATATTATTTTATTCCTTTTCTTATTTTGGAGACTGTTTTTGGGGATTATTTTGCAACTGTGTTCTGGTTCATAGCCACCAGAGACTGCTTTCTGCTTCTTCCAAATATCCAACTTACGTGTGTCCTTTTTTCCATATTGGGCTGAACAATTAGTAAAAGGACGCCGTTCTCAGAACTCTATATCAGTTATTCTAATGCACCACCACAGCATCATCATTTGTAATCATAAATGAAATTTGGCAGAGCCCTTGTGGTACACGCTCCATGCAGAATGTAATTTTGTCACATTTTTTATTAACTGTGTCAAGGTCCTTTAAAAATGAATGGAAGATGGAGTGATGAAAATGTTCTAAATGATTGTGGTCATGGTTGCACAACTCTGTGAATGTACTAAAAATCATTGACTTGTACACTTTAAATGAATAAATTGTATGGTATGTGAATTCCATCTCAATAAAGCTGTTAGAAAGAAACAAATGAAAGCTTCAAGTACAGGACAAAATTAGATCATTTAAATTAAAAACAATGCTTGTTTATTTAAATGGAGATAATAGATAAACCCAACAAACTGACAAATACATATGATTAAGAATGAAAATGGAGATTATATTTTTCCTTACAGGAAGGACCCATGGTTCCAAATATACCACCCCAAGAAGCTAGCAACAGGCTACAGATATTTCAGGTGAAACTACATTTTTTTTTGTTACATTGACAATGTGTAATTTTAAAAAATGATTTTAGGGAAAGATGTATGTTTTACTTTACAATAGAAAAGTTTGTGTTTCAAGTACATTAGACCTTAACCGCATTCTAATCTGCTAAATGGTACAATTGACTCCTCTGTAGCCCTCCATGCTCCTCTCCACAGAATAGCTCTCTGCATTTTTAGAGAATAAGACTGATTTTGAACTTAAGTATATAACTTATTTTAGTTCTAAGCATCTCATTTGATATGTAAAGTAATTAAATATCATAGTATAGTAACATTTATCAAAATAATATTTTAAATATTGGCAAATATTTTCCCCGCTTTTCCTCTGTATTCATTATTTTGTCTTCCTTTTGCATCCATTGCTTTAAACTTCCCCACTTCTTTGCCCTAACTTCTCTGCCTGTTCAATACTCACTGGATCAGGCCAACCATACACCATCTTTTTCTACACTCAGATTGCTGAGCGCATCTAGAGAAAAATCACACATCCACATGGATTAATACTTTGCAAATTCATGGATTCCTATGTACACTTGCTCCTCAGGAGCATCAGGCAGTTCTGTTCTTTGCTCCTGCTCTTTTTCCTGTTTCCTGGTGTTGCTGAATATGGTGGTTACGTTCTCTTTATGTCCTCCTTCTCATGTGCATTCTTAATAATTAAAAAAATGATCAGATGCCTACTATATGGCTTGCTCAGGAGAAATTTGATTAAGAAGTGGTTCTTACCTCTAAGCTGCTAGAATCTAATAGCGAGATAGCAAGCTAGAGAGATAATTGCAAGTGTGATGAGAGCTGTGACCTACGTATGTGAAGTCATGTAATGGAAACTGGTGTAAGGGGCTCCCAATCCAGATGGGCTATTGGGGCAGATGGAGAAGGCTTCCTGAAAGAGGAAGAATCTAAACTGTATTTTGAAAGACTAATTAGAGTTAGCCAGGGGAAGGAGGGGAGAAAGCAAGTTAGGCAGAATTTGCAACTCATGCCAAGGCCCAACAGAGAGGAAACTAGTAGGGTGATTTGGGGAGATGTAATGAGTGTAGTGTAAGGTAGTGCACCTTTGGGATGCAGGACCAAAGAGGATAGTGATGAGGAATGAGGCAACAGAGTGGGCAGCGAGCACAAGTGGAGGGCCCGGTAGGCTATAAGAAGTCTGCATCCTATCTTGAGGGTTGAAGGGTTCAAAGCAGGGAGTGATATGATTCTACTTGAATTTTTAGAATAGTTGTGTTTTTAAAAGATTTTAGTGTTATCAATGTGAAGACTGATTTGGAGGTGATCAAACTGAGAGCAGTTTTGGTAGTACAAGCAAGAAATTGCAAAGATTGAGACCAAGCAAGTGACACCTGTAGAATGAAGCAAACTGGGTGGATCATGAGTTTCTTAAAGAGGCAGAATTGACAGGCCTGAAACCTGGTTTGAGGGAAAAAGTCCAAGATTTCCAACTTGGTCATCTAGACAAAGGTAGAGCTATTTATCAAAGTAGGGACTGTGGTAGGAAGAGTGGCTTTGGGATTTGTTTGAGCAGATACCTTGTCTTCAAATTTACAGAGAAAATTTGGAGTATGTGATATAAACCAATTGATTAGTCAGCAACTGGGACATCATGTGCCAAGCTTTTACCCAGGGGTGTGGCTGCTTCATTGAAAAGACAATGTAGGGCACATCTTTTGCCTTTCTGTACCTTCCATTCTGCCTGTGCCTTGGGGTGTGAGCCAAACAGGCTGTTTGCCATGTACTTTGTTGGATAAGTGACTTTAGGTCAGATTTGTAGACACAACACTTTTCAAAAGCAGGTGTACTCCAACCCCCTAAAAAAAAAAAAAAAAAAGCAGGTGCCAAAGTCTGGATCTGCAGAGGTAGAAGTGCCTTACATTGGGCCCTGGGTCCTGGCGGTGCTCTCTCATGTAAATTTAGACGCATTTTGAGGAGTTCTTGGGCACCCTGCTGGCCTGTTAACAAAGCTGATGCTTTGTTCCTGTTCAGCTAATGCTGTGGGTTTTTTAATATTACTTGGAACCTGAAGGAAAAATGGGATGAGTGATTGGCATCTATCAGTAATCTTTACACATAGATAAGATTTTAAACACTGTTGTTTTAAGGCATTCTAACTTTGACATTGTTATTTCTCCTTCCCTAGTGTTTACATAGTCCCATGGACTCTTCATTCAGTACATTTATCAAGTAATCACCATGCCAACCACCAAGGAATACACAAAGTACAAAATCTGGCCCTTGCCCTCTAGGAACTAAGAGTTCATTTGAGTTCCCCCAGTATTTTTGTGCCTTCCTGATCTGGGTCCTGTAAAATATAGTCATGTATCTGTCAGATCTGTATTTTTGTCTAAGCCTTGTGAGCTCTGATGATGGTTATTCTCCAGGGCTGGGGTTTTAGGGTTCTATGGATATGCTGTACCACTTACACAGAGAGCTCATATGTCATCACAGATGGGTTACTGCTGTTGGCACTTGTGTTTTGAACATTGCTGATATTTAGCATCCCAAATATAGGATATTCAAATTCCAGTTCAAAAGGAAGAAGTAAAAGACATGAGCATTAACTTTGCTGATTTAAGTTGTTAGAATTATTTCAAATGGTGTTAAAATTGCATCTTCTTTTTTATAGACCTTTCATTGCATGTTGAGGAAATAGGTCCGAATGGATTAGACTAACACTTTGCTCATTTGAACCCTGTAGGATAGAGATGGCTAGTCTAAATTAGTGAAAAATCCTGAATTGTAGAGTTTTTAAAATGCAGCTTTATTACTTTTAGGTGTACTTATGGCAACTCAAAATATAGGCCTTCTGGAGAAGAAGAAATAATTTTATATAACATGAATGCTTTTAGAATGCTTGAAAGCTAACTCTCCTAAGTGTTTAACTTTCCTCTGATAGCTTGGTATCAGTATAAATTTGCTTCACAAATCCTTATTTTATAGATATTCCTTAATAAACCTCAGCCTTGCATTTATCCCAATTATAATAAATTCTACTTTAATTCTACTGAATTAATTATATGTTAGTACAATTTAAAAACCTTTGTTACAGGCCAATTTCGATGATCTGTGGAGGAAATTTGTTACATATTCATCTGGTGAACAGCTTTTTGGATTGCCTGTGACTGACTATGAAGTTTTACACAAAACCAGGTGAGTTCAGAAAATAGGCAAGTATTACAAGCAAATAATTAAATACTATGTATTAGAATCATGTCACCATCAAATCCTTTATCATGCAAAGAATACCATGGCTTGGAGCACAACTGAATATTTTCCTTACTCCAGATATTCCTAACAAATTGGACATACAGTCTCCTATACAAAAGAAATGTTCCAGAGGAGTAGAAAATATGTTGCTAAAATTTTGAGCATGCATGGTTTATATTTTGCCTATGCTTTGCTTTTTCTTTTGACTATTTTTGCATAGTGTCAGTGATTATGCAGAAGCACTGCAATTTTGAATAACTTTTGTTTATTTAGAGGAATAACCCTCCTGGATCCTTTTGCCTTCTTACTCCATTTATGGTAAAGTGCTCTTCCCCATTGGGTAGTCATAGAATTTATTGAGATTGAAGGCCAAATAACCTAACTGATTATAAACCACAGATATAAACAAGTATATTTCAATCGAATTTTAGAATATTCTCAAATAATTTAAAATATAACTTTCCTTAAAAGCAGCAATACAGTGAGCTCATTAGAGTCTTGGTTTTAGAAAATAACTTTATGTTGACTTCCTTCAAAGCCACAGCATGAAAATTTCATGAAAATAGACATGAAATTTTCTGAAGAGAAATGAATGTTTTAGTCATTTAGAGTAGGTGGTTTGTATTTCCTTTCTAAAACAGTCATTCTCTAAACTTAATCCATTAGCCAATTGTGTTAGAATTGCAGACGTCTGGTCCTCATTTCTGATTTGCTGAATTAAAACCTTTAGGATTTGGTCCTAGGAAGTCTGCATTTTACACACTCTCCAGGTGATTGTGATGCACACTCAGTCTGAGATCCAATGCATTAAACCTCAGGATAGCAGGAGAAATAGTCATCACCATTCACCAACTGGACCAAAGAACCATTTTCATTTTGATATTTTAAATTTTATGAATAATTTACGAAATGGTGAGAATGGTGAGACACTTTGAAGCTTATTTATTTATTTATTTTTTGAGACAGGATCTCATTCTGTTGCTAATACTGGAGTGCAGTGGTGGAATCACTTGACCTCCGGAGTTCAAGTGATCCTCCTGCCTCAGCCTCCCAGGTAGCTGGGATTACAGGGGCATGCCACTGGGCCCAGCTAATTTTTAAAAAATTTGTATAGAGACAGGGGTCTCCTTATGCTGCCCAGGCTGGTCTTAAACTTTGGGACTCAAGTGATCCTCCCACCTCGGCCTCCCAGTGTGTTGGGATTTCAGGTGTGACCCCCTGCACCTGGCTGAGAAACACTTTTTTGTTGTTGTTGAGATGGAGTTTCACTCTTGTTGCCCAGGCTGGAGTACAATGGCACGATCTTGGCTTACTGTAACTTCTACCTCCTGGGTTCAAGCGATTCACCTGTCTCACTCTCCCAAGTAGCTGGGATTACAGACATGCACCGCCACACCAGTCTAATTTTGTATTTTTAGTAGAGGCAGGGTTTTATCATGTTGGTCAGCCTGGTCTGAAACTCCTGACCTCAGGTGATCCGCCTGCCTTGGCCTCCCAATATGTTGGGATTACAGGCATGGGCCACCTCGCCCGGCTGAGAAGCACGGAGGTTAGAAGATTAAATTAGAAGATTTAAATTAAATTAGATTTAATACAAATTTAAGCAGAGTAAACTCAAACTTTTATTTTGTAATATCCAGATTTGAAGATATATGTATGCAAAATGGGGACCAGCTCATCAGCTGTCATGTGTGAACCTGGAGCATACCCATGTTGTAAATAAGGATTTCATGTTTTAAATCATCTCCAATGGATCTCTAGCTTATCATTACTTCTGATTTTTCTGGTACTTGCATTGTCAAGACTCAAATCTGTTGAAAACTCGGTTTTTTTTTAAGAGAAGACTATCATCTTTTTTGCTCTACAAATATGGAAGACATTACTTTTAGATTTGAATGATCAATTCCAAGAAATTTTACATTTCTAAATCATCTATTTCCTTAAATACACATCTGACTTCAACATTTGTCCACTTATGAAATGTGTCAAATAAAACTTATGTAAATATCCTAAATAATGAAGGAACACTGTCACTTATCTTTTTCAGAAAATGGGGTAGTCTAGGTTCTTGTTGCAAAATATTGCATGATAAGGGCCTTACTTCTACTGAAGTCTATGGAAATATATTGTTTACTTATAAATTACTGGATTTTATAAAATTCATCTAGGTTATCATCTGAAGACATAGTATGAGATTTTGCGTATTGATCAATTTCACCAAATTGTAATCCCAGCTACTTGGGAGAGTGAGACAGGTGAATCGCTTGAACCCAGGAGGTAGAGGTAACAGTGAGCCAAGAAATTATCATCAAAAGGGAGTGCTGCTTCTCTTTTCTGTTTAATACTTGGAAAACATATTCCTTTGTCAAGATTTTTCTCTTTACCTTTTTAGGTAGAAAGTGAAAAATTCTGAATTCTTTTATATATATATTTTATTGCATTTTAGGTTTTGGGGTACATGTGAAGAACATAAAGAGCTGTTGCATAGGTACATACATGGCAATGTGGTTTGCTGCCTCCATCCCCATCACCTATATCTGGCATTTCTCCCCATATTATCCCTCTCCAACTCCCTACCCCCTGCTGTCCCTCCCCTAGTCCCCCCAACAGACCTCAGCATGTGATGCTCCCCACCCTGTGTCCATGTGTTCTCATTGTTCAACACCCACTTATGAGTGAGAACATGCAGTGTTTGATTTTCTGTTCTTGGGTCAGTTTGCTGAGAATGATGGTTTCCAAATTCATCCATGTCCCTACAAAGGACATGAACTCATCGTCTTTTATGGCTGCATAGTATTCCATGGTGTATATGTGCCACATTTTCCCTGTCCACTCTGTCATCAATGGGCATTTGGGTTGGTTCCAGGTCTTTGCTATTGTACACAGGGCTGCAATGAACATACTTATGCATGTGTCTTTATAATAGAATGATTTATAATCCTTTGGATAGATATCCAGTAACGGAATTGCTGGGTCAAATGGAATTTCTATTTCTAGATCCTTGAGGAATCGCCACACTGTCTTCTACAATGGTTGAACTAATTTACACTCCCACCAACAGTGTAAAAGTGTTCCTATTTCTCCACATCTTCTCCAGCATCTGTTGTCTCTAGATTTTTTAATGATCGCCATTCTAACTGGCATGAGATTATATCTCAGTGTGGTTTTGATTTGCACTTCTCTAATGACCAGTGATGATGAGCATTTTTTCATATGTTTGTTGGCCTCCTATATGTCTTATTTTGAAAAGTATCTGTTCATATCCTTCACCCATTTTTTGAATGGGTTTGTTTGTTTTTTTCTTGTAAATCTGTTTTAGTTCTTTGTAGATTCTGGATATTAGCCCTTTGTCAGATGGGTAGATTGCAAAATTTTTTTCCCATTCTGTTGTTTGCTGGTTCACTCTAGTGATTGTTTCTTTTGCTGTGCAGAAGCTCTGGAGTTTGATTAGATCCCATTTGTCTATTTTGGCTTTTGTTGCCAATGCTTTTGGTGTTTTAGTCATGAAGTCCTTGCCTATGCCTATGTCCTGAATGGTTTTGCCTAGGTTTTCTTGTAGGATTTTTATGGCGTTAGGTCTTGTGTTTAAGTCTTTAATCCAGATGGAGTTAATTTTAGTGTAAGGAGTCAGGAAGGGGTCCAGTTTCTGCTTTCTGCACATGGCTAGCCAGTTTTCCCAACACCATTTATTAAACAGGGAGTCCTTTCCCCATTGCTTGTTTTTGTCAGGTTTGTCAAAGATCAGATGGTTATAGATGTATGGCGCTGCCTCCAAGGCCTCTGTTCTGTTCCATTGGTCTATATCTCTGTTTTGGTACCAGTACCATGCTGTTTTGATTACTGTAGCCTTGAAGTATAGTTTGAAATCAGGTTGCATGATGCCTCCAGCTTTCTTCTTTTTGCTTAGAATTGACTTGGCTATGCAGGTTCTCTTTTGGTTCCATATGAAGTTTAAGGTGGTTTTTTCCAGTTCTGTGAAGAAGGTCGTAGGTAGTTTGATTGGGATAGCATTGAATCGGTAAATTACTTTGGGCAGTATGGCCATTTTCACAATATTGATCCTTCCTAACCATGAGCATGGAATGTTTTTCCGTCTGTTTGTGTCCTCTCTTATTTCCTTGAGCAGTGGTTTGTAGTTTTCCTTGAAGAGGTTCTTTACATCCTTTGTTAGTTCTTTTCCTTCATATTTTAGTCTCTTTGTAGCAATTGTTAATGGCAGTTAGTTCTTGATCTGGCTCTCCTTAATTCTGTTATTGGTATAGAGGAATGTTTGTAATTTCTGCACATTGATTTTGTATCCTGAGACTTTGCTGAAGTTGCTTATCAGTTTCAGGAGGTTTTGAGCTGAGACGATGGGGTCTTCTAGCTACACAATCATGTCATCTGCAAATAGAGACAATTTGACTTCCTCCTTTCCTGATTGAATACCCTTTATTTCTTTTTCTTGCCTGATTGCTCTGGCTAGAACTTCCAATAGTATATTGAATATGAGTGGTGAGAGAGGGCATCCTTGTCTAGTGCCAGATTTCAAAGGGAATCCTTTCAGTTTTTGCCCATTCAGTATGATATTGGCTGTGGATTTGTCGTAAATAGCTTTTATTATTTTGAGATACGTTCCGTCGATATCTAGTTTATTGGGAGTTTTTAGCATAAAGGGCTGTTGAATTTTGTCGAAGGTCTTCTCTGCATCAATTGAGATAATCATGTGTTTTTTGTCTTTGGTTCTGTTTATATGGTGAATTACGTTTATGGAGTGTGTGTTGAACCAGCCTTGCATCCCTGGGATGGAGCCTACTTGATTGTGGTGGATAAGCTTTCTTATGTGCTGTTGCAGTCGGTTTGCCAGTATTTTATTGAAGATTTTTGCATTTGTGTTCATCATGGATATTGTCCCGAAGTTTTCTTTTCTTATTGAGTCTCTGCTGGGTTTTGGTATCAGGATG